ATAAAAATAATAAACGCACTTACCAATGAAACGTGTAAAACACTTTTCACGTTACATGTTTTTTTTTTTTTAAATTTTGGACCAGTGGTTATTAAATGGGGGTCCGTGGTTACCAAATGGGGTTCCGCATCAGTCAATCCCGGTAATAAAAGTTGTATTTTTTATATTGAGAAGAAATGTTTCAATTTTCGGCCGAGTTTCCTCGTGTGTATGTCAATAAGAAAAGGTCTACGTCGCACTAGCCCCTAGTTATATCCATTTATTAGATGATTATATATTTTAACCTATACCTTTCCCATCGCCTTAACACGAACGGTGTCTTCCATGATTTCCGCCGATCCACAATGGGTACGCGAAACATCGATGGTTAAGAACCACTGTTTTAGACCGATGTGGTGTTCGTATAAGCCGGCTGCCCGTCTGCACAGCGATCAGACACTGAGCCCTATCGATCGGTAAATGCACTCGTGGTGCGTGCACAAAAAAGCGGTGAAGAGGCGACAGCTCTTTGAGTGCTTTTCGAAAAATCGATCTCAGGAACAAGGTTGCGAAGGAAGTGCACTGCAGGCTACGTTCGATAGCGGCCACTTATGCCGAAAGGCTGCGTCTTCCTGGAAAAAAAAAATACTATCAAAAAGTTTTCCCAGGAATCTATTTGAAGATCCGCTGAAGTACAAAAGAAAATAACCAGCAATTGCACTTGGTAGAGCGCAAAAGTATAGAGTACGTTCCGCAATAACTTGAATCAGGCACGTAGCCAGGGGGGGGGGGGGGGGGGGCATGGGGCCCTCCCTCCTCCCCCGAACTTTTCCATTTTTCTGGGACCTCCTCTCCCCCCTCCCCTTGCTACAGCATTTTGTCATCCCCCCCCCCCCCCCCCCCGCCCCCGAAACAAAATCCTGGATACGTGCCTGACTTGAATACAGAGAGAAAAAAAATGCATTCTGGGTCCTCACAGGGTTGTCGAAGAAAGGAATCGTTGCTCGCTCGACACCGCAAAAACGCCCCGGGCAGCACAGTATACTGTGACAGATTTTTGTTTTTGTCTGAAAATTTTGTACATTAAAAAGCCAGAAGTGAAGGTAGGACCAAACTTTCCCTTCGTTGGGCAGAGTTTGGACACATTAACCCTAATTCGCCAAAGAAGACTCAAAGTTACGCTTCACGGCTGGTAATCTTACTGTGATCTGCAATCTTTGGGCCTAAATCGCCAAACAAGTGCAAGAGTTAGGCTTTATATTAGGTTGTTCAGTTTTCATGTGGCAGCTTTGACCTACATTTCCAAACAAGAGCTATATTTAGGCTTCACTTCTGGTCCTTCCGTTCATATCTGACATCTTTGACTGTAGTTTGACACTTTAGCAATGATGTGGAAAGCAAGAGAAAAGTCACCTAAGTTCTAAAGGAAAATACTCCTGCACTATAACTAACGCCTTGGAGAATCCTGTATTAGGCCCAAGTTAGGCACCTAGGATTGCGAGGTGTGGGCCAAGTTACGAGACGTTTTTCTGGCGTGCTGCCTTGGGTGAGGGTTTTAACGAAATAACTAGATTACGGTGTGCAAGCGCTAAAAAGGACCACTTGTCGACGGCGCGACGATTTAAATGATTAAGATATCGATATCAATCAAACGTTTACGAGTTTTCTAAAGCTTATAAAGTTATTTCTAAAGGCTGCTTTCTTATATTTTGAGTTGTTTTGAGCTGTAAATATTTATATGATATTCAAATCTTCGCTAACTGCCAACATTGTTGTCTCCCACTCATTGTCACTGGAAAGACACGCTAAATTTGACCGCATGCATTTTTCTTTTCGCAATGCTTCGTTTAAAGCCTTTCAGTTTCGGTCACCTCGGAACGTTGCCTATGGTACACCTGCATGTAGCCTGTTCACTGATTTCTTAATTTTTGAAATCAACATGAGCGGTTAATTATTAAGCCAACTAGGTGATAAAAAGCATCGACGACGGGTGTGATAGGAATCTTAGGCATGAACCACAGTTATTCTAAAAAAAAACGTGTAAGGAAAGAGGAAGCATTTCCCTAAGAATAATCTTTCTCAGTAAAATACTTACTCTTGAGCTTAGTTTGTTAACACTGAGTGCCACATCCGAGTATACTCGGGCACGTTTCGGTTTGCTGTCTGCCCCTCCGAACTGGGTTGACTTCTTTTGTTTTTCTTTTCTTTTACGTGTAGCAACATGTACGAGCAATAGACAAAAAAAAAAAAAAAAAAGATCTTCTGGTGTTATTTTTTGATGGCATGTACGTTTTTGTAAAGGCGACTTCTGTTTCGGTATGCTCGTTCGGTATTACAAAGTGGTGAATCGGTGTCGTTCAACCTCGCGCTTCATGGAGAACACAGATCTACATGTTACTGATGAACTCGGTATTCAAAGACTGAGAAAATGAGGAAATTGCAGTTCCGAATAAGCAAAGGCCGAGTAGGGCCGTCCCAAAGTATGACGGCGGGGTGCGATCTCGAGGTGACACTGTATACTAGCTTGTCTCGAAAAGTACAGCACGAGAAATATGTTATGGGATGGAGGCACGCAGTCATCACTGAACTTCTTGCCCTCAAATTGTGTCTTTACTAAATAAATATATTTCACAGTGCAAGCTGCTGTGTTACTGAGACCAAAATATGAGTTCGGCATGCGGGGGAAAAAGCCGGCACTGGAAGGGTTAAAATAAGACATCTTTGAACTGCTCATAACCCATGAAGTCTTTGCGAATTTTCGAAAGAGAACTCTAGTTCTCGCGCACTTTATTGCTGAACCAATTAAAGTTTTTAAAACAATTCAAAACGCGAATTGCTTAAGCATTGCTTGCAACGGGCTCTTATCTTATTTTTATAGTTACAGGCAACACAACGGCGCGCGTTCCTCAACCTCAATTGTATTGGATAGTGCGTAATGACCAGGCATTTATTCCCAACATAGAATATGTAGGTGAGACCTTCATTTTATATACTTGAAATCTGTCTAATGATGCTGAAAATCGTGCTCCCATCGCATTATTTGTGAAATTCTAGGTCACTGAACTAAACCAAACTTTGTGTTAGGTTTTATTATTTTCACGTAGTATTTTCAACTTTATCCTTTTCGTGGGGTTTATTTAGGCGATTAGTTTCACAAATCATTCGTGAAACCTGGTTCGATTTAGGTCCCGTGTATGTCCAGGTCATGCTGCGCCCTGAGCTACAGGTGCACAGGGATGATTTAGTCCCCCTTCGAAGTTGATTTTTTAGGGGTATATAACATTTCTGTTTCTTTGGTATATTATTTATATGAAATGTTTTTGTGATATTCTATGCCCGAGATATTGGTACGGTGAAGAAACTGTTCCTTGGTCGCCATTTCGTGCCCGCGTATCTCGTGCTTCTGTGCTCCTCTCCATTGGGGCTGTTGAAAGCGCTACTGTAAACTTGGGCAGTAGCGCTTTTAGCTGCAGAACGCAGACGTGCTGGGTTCAGTCCCGTATTCGACCGGATGAGCATAGGTACTGAGCGTATTCATGTAATCTTAACAGCGTGTACGAGCTCATCCAAATAAACGTTTTAGATAATGAATTTGAAAAATGATATGAAATAAGTTCTTCGTACGTCCGGGTTTTGGGGGAATCCCGATTTTCCCATTTAAAGGAGGCAAAGTGACATATATTTGGACATACTGAAAATAATTTTGAGATTCAGAGCAGTGAACTGCATATACAACATACCCAAGCCGCGGCAGAATTTGTTTAAAATTTTATAATATATTGAAATAGAACAATAAAAAATAGTTAGCTTTGAAACCCCAAGCAGAGGACCATCAAGGTAGGAGCCAGCCAGAAAAAAAAAATCCTCATAAGATATTGAAGACATTCGAGTTATGAGATGCCAAGACTGTGGGCGCTTCATGAGAATTAGAAGTTGTTGACTGAAAAAAAACCCTTCAATCATTTCTTTCTGCTAACAAAACACTGAATTGAATAGAACTAAGGTTTCTATATATGGATATTGTTTAATAAAACCACCCAGAGCTTTAAAAGCGAAACAAAAAAATATTTTTAATTTATTTCGTTATGAAAATCTCGAAGATATTTAGAAAAGGAAAATGACCACCAAAAACTTGGGATATCTATTCCTAGTAAGTAACTTAGTCTCCAAGACTGTTTTAACAAATCATTGGGTACAAAATTCTAGAAATAATATATTTCAAAATTTCTGTTACGCATTTTTCGCTGACGATTTGAACGTGAACATTTTCAACAGGCACGCAATTCTGAAACCTGCATAGCGTACGGAATGCAGATTGGGAATAGGTTTAGTGAGATGACAAACAAGATTTGTCATAAAACGAGAAGTTCGTTTAATGGTCTACAAAATCTGCACAAAACAGTTCTGGCGAATAGCCGCGCAGATGAATAAATACGCTCTTAGAATAAATAAGTGAATATGTATGTACTATATACAAAATAGAACTTCCAGGTACAATTCTTGGTGCAGTGGGCTTCAACCTATTTCTTGTTGTTGGACCCCGAGGTGGTAGTTGCAGAATGAAAACGTTCATGTTTTTGGTGAAGTCTTGTTCTCCATCGTTGGCAGCAGGCCACAAGAGGACCACGAACTAGCAAGCAAAAGTTTACGAAAGTCATTTTACATTGGTCCCTAGATCCGTGTACCTTAAACCACATGAAGTAAGGCATTTATGAAACGTGTTGTCTTCAGATCTTATCACCGCCCATCAGAGGACCTGTCAAAAGTGGCGCGAATTACTTGCCCCGTTTTCAGGCACAAAGGTGGTCGCGGACGAAGCAGCATATGTTGATCTGTTGACATTTACATGGAGAAGACGAAGGGCGTGCAAATGTCAAAGGCTGCCTGAGACTAGACCTGCCCGCCTAAGCACTTCTGCGGCTATCTGTTTATCAGGCGCGAAACGACTGTTCGAGTCCTGCACATTTCCCCAAAAGCGTGGTATTTGGGAAACGCAATAGACAAGAAACAGCTCCACGGACCTTGCATGTTGATCCGGCGGAGCCGCTTGTTCTTCGCCAAGTCCCTCTTGTCCAAGCTGGCGAGGTTGTTGTAGCTCAGGTCCAGCTCGGTAAGGTCGTGCAGGAAGTGCATGCCGCTGTGGATGCGCTTCAGCAGGTTGTCAGAAAGCTTCAGCGTTGAGATACGCGACACGTAGTGCCCGAACGCGCTGTCCACGCTCGTGATCTGATTTCGGGACAGGTCTAGTTCTTTCAGGTCCTTTAACCATTTGATCTCGTCGAGCCTCACCGAAGACAGGCTGTTTCTGGAGAGGTTCAGCCGCACCAGGTGCTTGAGGTGGTTCAGCGCCTGCCCGATTTCCGTCAGGAAGTTGCCGGAGAGGTCGAGCGTTTGCAGCTGTGTCAAGCTGGCGAAGTTGCGCTCCTCGATCTTGGACAAGTGGTTCCTGGACAAGTTCAGGTGCCAGAGATGAGTAAGGGGTGCCAGGGCGTCACCCACGTCTTCGATCCAGTTGTTACCGAGGCTCAGCGTCTGCAGGCTTCGCAAGTCTTTGAAGACGCCGGCGATGTTGGTCAGTTTGTTCCCGTCGAGATTAAGCAGCTTGAGACTGGACAGGCCTTCGAGCTCGCCCTCCAGAGATTCAATCGCATTCGTGCTGGCAAAGAGCCATTCAAGGGAGGCCAGGTGACTCACCGATCCGTTCAGGGAAGGAATCTTGTTTCTGGAGAGCGTCACACGTTCGAGGTTTGGATTGAACACACCAGCCTCGATGTATTCGATTTCATTGTCAGACAACACCAAGAACTTTAGGTTTCTGAGACCGGGAAAAGAAGAGGAATTCAGCTTGGCAATGTGGTTTCCGGACAGGCTGAGTGTCTGCAGAAATGTGAGCTTCTTCAAGGCTTCGCTGGGGACCTCATCGAGCGAGTTCTCGGCGAGGATGAGGAAACGAAGGCCCTCGAGTCCCACAAAAGCGTCGCCCGACACAAGTTTGAGGCTGCTGCCGTTGATGTAGAGTCGGTCCATAGTCACATTGGCGAAGAAGCCGGCTGTCAGAGCCGGGAAGGCGCACTGGGAGATCTTGAGCTGCGGGATCGGGGAGGGGTACCGGTTGGCCAGGGACCGATGGATGACTTCTGGGTCGTTAATGCCTTCGCAAAGGACCTGGGGCACCGCGGGCGAGTCGGCGCACGAGCAGGAGCCCAACTGGTCGGAGGGGGGGCACTGGAACCGGAGGCGGTAGGCCGGGCACCCGAGCGCGCTGAGGACCACGAGCAGAATCCGCATCAGCACAGACTTCATGACGTTCGAGTTCGAGGTTCACGCAGAAGAAAGCCGCGAAGATCAAGACACGTCTTCGGCAGGTTTTAAAGGCTTTTTCACCTGCGAGCTGGCGCTTGTACCGACCGACGGCTGCATTGGAGTCCCAAGCGCGCGGTGAGCGCGGTATTTAAGCGTTTCGGCGGTTCCTCTCCATTGGTCGATGCGACTGGGGTCGTCATGGTGACGCCCAATGGGAAAGGAGGCGCCTCTTGGTGTGAAAAAGAAACAACCAAAAAGTGTCCACGGTTCTTTTTTCTTCCTTGGCTCTTTCTCTCTCATTTCTCCGCAGATCTCGGCGAAAGCAGCAACGAACGCGGGTTTGTCCTGTGAGACGCCGGTCGGAGGATGCCGCTCTCCGCGAGCGCGGAAAGCAGAGTCGTCGGCTCTCCGCGTTCGCGGAGAGCTCTCGGCCGAGCCTCTCGATACGCCGAGTCGTCGGCTTATCGAGAGGCTCGCCTTGCGACGCTACCGGGGCAGATTGTGGTGCGGAGATGTCGTTGGCACGGCGACTGCGTGACGACAGCGTGGGAACTCGTGTTCGAAGCTCCGGATGATTGAATGACTCCGGTGGTCCTAAAAGACCAGTGTTTGTCAAGATGCGCGACCGCCAGCAATTCAATTAGGATGGGGATTATTGTAACAAAAACCTACGATATCAACATATGTGTGTTGTATTTTTTTTACTAAGTTCTGTTTCTTTTAAATAAAGTATATAATCTTCTTTTTATAGTTAGGTTGCTATAGACCGTTGACATATGTTGACACAAGAAATGTGGACTTTGCCACATTAGCCATTGAGCAAAGCCGTCAAAAAATGCTTCAACACTGTAATGAAAACGAACGATGCCACGCATGACGTTCTTCCGGGTATTCAGTTTCTGCAACACGTGTAGTAGGCACGTGCCTTCGGAGCCTGACACGGCCCGTGATATCTTTGCAAGCAGAGATATGGTAGCGACCGGAATGGTCGGCTTGTAATCGCCTAGGTCGGGAACTAAAGCCGGAGACATATTTACGATATCTTCAATCACGAATGTGCGACCAACTCGTCATACGGCAACATACGACGATGTTTGTAGAGGCGAAAGATTTGTGCCCAAACGCATTTTGCTTGGGACACATAGTTGCGGGGCCGCGAAAAAGGGACTAGCAATAGTGGCAACGTCGGCACAGCCGAGGCAAGGGTAAAGACTCCATAAAAAGAGCGTAATTTAATCAATAATAGCACCGTTCCTCAATTACATTAGGTTTGCCAAAATATCAAGATAGGTATTACAATTCGACGTAACAGGAATATGATTTTTGAAAGTTTTTAGGATTGCATTACTACTTGAGTCGAAGCATCAAATTGTATGTTGATAACACTTCCATCCGTGTTTCGCCGCTTAACCAAAATGTGTTTATATAAGAACGACCCAATTTATATAAACAAATTCATTGCACATTGCATGCAGAATTAAATTTCTCGTTCAAGCTGTTTAACTTCGGTGATATAACTAAGGACGTGGGGCGTGCTATCTATGATATGAACAACGGGGCCTTCAAAACCAGGACTAAACAGACAATTCGTCTCTACCTAACGCGACAAACTGTCATGACAGACAATTGAGCTTCAGTATTTTGTAGTACTCTAAATTAGGACATTCTATTGACCTGCGTAAAACCACGTCAATGATATTTCGAAACAAAATATGTAAAGAGGGTTGGAATCTACTTCGAACAAATTGAAAGTAAGATATGAGAGTTACATGGGTGTCGTCTTCACAATGTACTTAAAAAGCTTGACAGACATCAGATGACTAAATGATGGCAACGGTGAGTGGGATCATGAACATAAATTTGCCTATTAACTTTAGAATTCCTGGTATAATGGGTAATGCTGTATTTATAGTGTTGACGGCAGTTACAATTAATGACTAAACGATTTTAAGCGGTTTCGTAATATTAACAATATCTTGCACCCATAATATTTCATTTTCTCCCGGGACTTGGACCTCTATCTTATTAAGTTAAATTTTCTTGCACAGCCCTTTGGCCTCCTAGATGGCAAGCCCTTTCAGTGCTCGATTTATGAGTTTAAACATATTTTGAGATTTTGTTTCGCACGTGGCGTGTACCGGGTGCTCGCTGTGTTACAACTGACGCATTAGTGCAGGTCATACTCCTCTTTCAGGCTGCTTGTTCTAACTCCACCCTTTGACGCCGCGAAGCGTATACAGATTGTCACCCCGTTATCAACCAGAACCTCGTTGCCTCGAAAAAACAAACAACTAATCTCTGTGGAGTATGTCTCTGACGCAACGACCGTTATCTAATTGTTTTGTGCTCCTTTTGTTTAGGACTCGTCGCGCCGTGAGGCGAATCGGACTTTGGCATACATTTTTGAGTACACTGAGCTTGATTCCGCGGGTTTCTTTTATCCTCACATGCACCCTTACGCAAAAAAAAAGAAAAAAATCCGGCCCTCCGTTTTGTTCTAATAGGCGTATGGAGACATACTTTTTAAGGTCCTCTTAATTCGAAAAGGTACTGTCATTTTTTTAAAGTGTGTGGCGGGCGGAAATTTGATCAGCCTGGCATATGAAGAAAGATCAATCCGATCCCCTTCACCATTGTCATTAGCAGCATCCAAATCGTAACCATTCCTTTTCCAGGTGAAGAACAACCATCGGTGTTTTTAACCAAGCACAGAATTTAGGCAAATAAAATTAAAAAAAAACAGTATAAGCGACATTTTAATGTTTTAAGACGGGTCTATTAGGAATGAAATATCGTATTGGTGCGAATCTTTTTTTAATAGACCTCATCTGTAATTATACGTCAGTACTTGCGGCTGACTTCGAACATTAAAATGATCCACACTGATCATGTGACGTATCACACAAAATATACTCCATGCGCCGGGTAAAGCAGTTTTGGTCTTTGGTCACTAACTGCCTAAGAAACACGAGGCCTGGGCTATCGTAACCAAAAGTCTTGCTGCATGGTTTGTTTATTGACGCTTTAATGGACTAGTGGACCACTGTATCTGTTTATATCCTTTGTTTGTGTCGTAAAACACACCGTTTCTTTACAAAATTTGTAATTCTAACGCTTCACTATAAAGTACATTATTCATTAACTACCTCTACATTTCAGCACGAGTTGATCATTATGTTAAAGTCGGCATGCCCGATACACCAATTTACTCATACCAAGAATTATATATTATCATTAAAACCGTCCTCCAGCACCTCTCATAAACATACCATTATCTGAACTATTTTTAAAGAGGCGTTAACTAAGAAACTTTGCTAACACGCCGGACAAATAATTTTATAACAAAATTGCTTACTTTGTTTTTATTCTTGTGCTAATGTTTTTTTTCTATTTTGTATGCATGTCCTTTTTTCTGTAATGCCCTATGGGCCTGGGGGGAATAGAAACCAATCACTCAATAAAAAATAAATGCCACAATCTGATTGGCTCCGGAAATGCTGGAAACCCACCAGGTACCAGCATCCCAGCACTATATTTCATTCGATTTATAAGTCTCCCTCAGCTATTTTGTATGCTGGTGTTTAGCGTACAATGTAATATATGTAGTGGATCCTCGGTCGGCTTTACAATCCAATTCCGAGCAGCCTTCATTCACGTGGCCACCTCAATTCAAATTCACTCAGGAACCCGAGTCGTAGTTGTCCCTCATTAGTTAAACCATGGCTGTGTGGTACCGAACAAGGTCTCGATTGTTCGCACAAAGGTGAATAAAGATTACCTTCATCATTTTGTAGCCTTCCGCCTATTTGTATAAAAGTATTAACAACCGCTTTTTTTATAAACTAAACTTTAAATGTGCCTTTTTTTTCTCCAAAACGTCAAAGAGTCAGTTGGAATTTTCTACAGAGAAAGCTCGATGAACGACGACGACAATAAAGGTTTTCACTTAAAAACTCAACCTTGCTTAAACGCGTGAAACGGCACGCTTCCTGCGATCTTCTGCCAGAGCATATTAAAAATCATCAACAAGCTTTGTTGCTCACCGATCCCTTTTCCTTAGATTGCGCGATTTTACTGTCAACCATCCTAGTGGAAAGCATATGGCCGAACATTTCCTTGGTGTAAACTTCAAAAAAAGATACACACACACAAAACAATCCATTACGAACGCTTTTCTCGCGTCTCACTGGAAATAAGAATTTGTTTGTTGTTAGCTGACCCAATATGTGTGAGTAAAGTATGTGCTCAAGTAGTTTAGATGAGATAGATCTCATAGAATTCGGACGATAGTTAGATAAAAAATCTAATTTTCTGTTTGAAAATTAGTACAACTTTGCCAACGTTTCAGTCGGAATGAAGTCAGCTTTCGGATAGCGATCGGTTAATTATGAGTGAGAAAACTATGCTAAAAATAAGGCTTGTGTTGTTTAAAATTTGGGAATTTCTGTTGTCAAGACCTACGGACGACGACCGATTTAATTTGTCGATTATCTTTGCAATACGAACTGAATTTATGCTGATTGTGGGCATTTGCAGATGAGGCTTTTTGGCATAAGCAGGGACAGTGGATAACCATTCTACAGTAAAAATATAGGAGAAGGAGACGTTAAGTATTTTAGGGCAGTCGCTTCCTAGCATGGGTTGGCCGTTTTTGTCTCTGAGATAGATGATATCGTTGTTACTTTTCGGTGATACTATTTATCCGAACTTCCTTGGATTAGTTTATAGGATAAATAATAATTCATAGAAGTATTATTAATATTTGGAGAGTTTAAGATTTTTGGTTTACTCCCTGAGAGAAGAATTATAAACATTCCAAGCTTGGGACGTGTTGACATGTTTGGCCTTCGCAAATAATCTTTTTTTTTTTTATTAATTCGAAGGGAAAGCAAGGCTTTGGTGAACCACAGATTTGCTAAATACTTACAAATACAAATTGTAGGAACAGATGTTTTCACAAGTTCATTTATTTTTGTTTTAAATGGTACTCGGTTCTCGTCTACCGATCTGTCGTAGAAGTTATCAACGTAAGACTAAAAATTAATTTGTCACTTTACGGTTTACTGATTCATAATCAGCCTTCTTATAGTCATGGAATATTTTAGAAATTGGATGATT